CGAAAACTTCCTGATTTAAAATCTCAATAAAAAACTAGTAAAGATAACACTACAGTATAATTTTTGTTGAAAAAGACATTACCTAATTTTTTGTATACATCAGTTTTAGAGAAGACATGAGACAAATGACGGCCCAATTTTCAATGCATTCAGTTAGTTGATTATTGAAGTTCCGTTCAACTCGCTGAAGCATATTAATGGTATTGACCTCAAATCCTTGAGAGGTGACCATCTTTGGCCGACCCGATTCCCCGATTTGTCTCCGTTTTATTTTTTGTGGGGTTATATTTAACAAATTGTTTGCAATGACTGTCTAAGGAACCTCATTTGAAGAAAAACATACGCCAAGCTATAGCCAACATACCCGTCAATATGCCTTAGCGATTTGAACGGAACTTCGAAAACCGACTAACTGAATACATTGACAATGGGGCCGTCATATGTCCCATGTCATCTTTAAACTAAACAAAATAAATAAAAATTCAGATAATTTTTTTCTCAATAAAGTTGGTATTTGCAATAATGTATTTACTAGTTATTATTTATTGAGATTTCAAATCAGGAAGTTTTTGTGCATCGCCCTGTATTAAAACCTTTAATTTTTCATTCCAATAATAATCTCAGTTCCCTTACACTTCCTTCTTTAATATAATAAATTTAAATCAAATTCCACTGTATATCTTAATGGTTATCCACAACTAGTTCCTTGGTATTCCTGGTAAAAGTTGAAAATTATTGAAAAAACAACTGAAAAAGCTCTAAAAATTAGTTATAAGTTTCAAAGAATAAATAATTAAAATGCTCGATGGTTGCGTGGTGGTGATGGTTAAAAGGGTTGCGATGGTGTAATTGTGGTGGTGAGCAGGGCAAGAAATTGCGACACTATCCTCATCTGACGTCACGGTTCCATGATAGAGCAACGAATAACCAAGCCAAATACATTCAAATTAAAAATTCATAGAATTATATGTCAATTTTGCGACTATGCTGGGTTGAACATTTTTAATGAACGCTGATTTAAAATATATTCAATTTCGAGTCAAATATTTTAGTATATAGATTCTAATTCGAATAGATTCCATGCAATTATAAATGATGTTCAAAATTGTAATTCTGGGCCTAATTTCAGCCAAAGAATATTCCCTAAAATTTCGCGCTTGATGTGGATTCAATTTTGAATTAATTTCAATCGAATTCATTTTGTCTTCTGGTGAGTTGATTTTAATCATTGAATTAAACAAATAATTTTCTTTGACATACAAATTTTGCATTTGCATTACGCATAAAACATGTAAAATATATTCTTCCGGTCAATTTATTTTAATATTCTAATTTAATCAGTTTAAATAACATTTCTTTGCATCTGCACTTCAGTGCGATGCAAATAACCTTATAAGGAGCAAAAAGTAATCTTCTAATTGTGATATAATGACTCTTCATATAATAATTTAAAGGCTAATCAACCTTAATGTCGTTCCATTTCATCAACCACACTCACCATCCACGATAACTTAAAATTCCTCAGGTTAAGTGGATAACACATGTGCACATAAGAGTGTGTTACTTATCCCTAGTTTTCTAGTGAGGTGCCAATAGAAATTGATCAATGTAGAAAGCTGAATCATAACCACCGTAGATTTGCTTGCGTGTCAACCCAAGTTGATAATTTCCAGCGAGCTAAATCGGGGTTCAACCCTACTCTTTTGCGGATAATAATAAATTAATAGACGAATTGTCATATTTATAATCCATCCAATCTGCGTATGACGAATCTCTAGTAATAGACAATATACTAGCACGATTGCCGTGAATCAAAATAACACGAAAGAATACGCATTATTCGTGAACGAGAATACAAATTATTCATGTAGGTAAGCGCATGGAACGCGAAATTCCTTATAAAATCCCGCCTAAAACAGCGCTAGATGCTGACAAATTAAATCGATTTCGATTCCATAGTTTAAATAGACAAAACTATAGGTAACCCTTTGGTAAAACAATGCAGCTTGAGCTCGTGGTGGTTGGCTTCATTAGTTCTTTTTAGCGCATTTTCTCATTTATGGAATCAATGCACTATTGTGCTCGCCATGTCCGTCTGTCTGTCTGTCTGTCCGTTCGTCTGTCCGTGACTTCAAGTTTTCGTCGACGAGAAAATGCGCTCTCTGTCACTCACTGCAGTGAGCACCGAATTATATTTTTTTATTTAACTCATCTGTCACTTGTTCCAGCTTCTTATGCAGATCAGTTGTCGGTCAGTATAGCAGCTGTTTGAAACAGTGGACATACAAACGAGGACGCCAGATTGAAAGTGAATTTCTTCCATAATCTCCACTACCCGACTAACTTAAACGTCCGGCATCTCGCTATTAATTTTAATTGATCTCCATCACCCGCAAACAATTGTATTGTAGGCTTGTCGAAATTCTCACCATGTATTCAAGTTGGGTTTTATTTATTAGAAAAAGAAATTCTATGTGTAGAACTAGATAACGCATCAGACACAACTATTCTGGGACTTGGGATATGGTTCGAGAATAAGAAATATTTTAAATTTCTGAAAAACAATACCAAATATAAGAAACGCTCTATGGAGGGCATGCAGTACCAATAATTAATTGACTTAAACATTATAGTTAAATGTGATGCGCCGTCAGAAGTATATAAGCTGCAAATTATATCGTCTTTGTTAGAATTTTCTTCCATCAAATAATAATGACTATTAATAGGACTAAGTACAGCTAATGAGGTTCGTAGGTTCGTGGCAAACTATGATAATGCTTATACTGTGATTATTTGGTTACTTTATTTCCGTGTTTTTACGCACTTTATTGATGCCATTGAGATGGCCATTAACAAGAATAATAAGATGGGGGCGGGAAGTTTCAAAGGATATAAAAAATTATTCCCTGTCTTTGTTCCCGTAGAAATTTTCCTGGGTTATTGAATTGACGTCCGAACCTTATAGTACACAAGCAATTAAAAAAAATCATTTTATATATTTTATTCTAACGATTTAAAGCTCGATAAATGGAAAACACGATTATTCGAGCCACATCAAGATTTTTCCTCTTCCCATCTATCATTCTATTACACCAAAAATTGTTTTCAAGTCTTCAAAAAGTCTGCATAAGATCAAAAATTTAATTAAATTCAGGATGAATCACTATAAATTTTATTGAAACTCCCAAAAAAAATTTAAGACAATTATTTCAAGTTTTGCACTAGTATCGAGGGTTAAATCGTGACGTAGGCAGCATATTTTGCTAACGTCACCAAACGTAATTACTGAATGTTTAAATAATAAACGTGGGCGCTGTGGAATCATGAGTTACTGTAAAAATCAGTCCGAATATTAAAATGCATGACAGATATTTGGTGTATAACGGTGATTAAATGTATCAGTGCAAGTATCATTCGTATTATATTTATAAAGTCGAATTTATTTAGAATGATTTCCCGATGTAACAATTTTTTGAATTACAATTATTTCAATATTTATAGTATTTTATTGAAAAAAATGAATTTGACTGCCAAAGTCGATCGTAGCGGAATATTGTAGTTGCCGTAGTCTTTACAGTAACTCATTGTCACCCGTAAACTTTTGCAATTTGACATCCTTTACGTATGTCAATTAAATCGGTCTACATCGAATTTGCTGCAATAGAATAAAAAATACACATAAAAACCCTTTACTCTAATGCAGATATCTTGTACGAGTTAAAGAGTACTAATCTAAGCAGGCTTAGGGCGGTGCTTAAAGAGTTCAATGGTTTCGAGGTCACGCAGTTGAGTGAACGCCTTGCAAGAAGGCCACGCTTTGAGCCTACATATGGGGTTGAAAGTATTGGTCGGTTTGGCGAACCTACAGGAGCAAAATACAGTGACCTGCACCAGTGACCTACGAAACCTTATATATGCTGGCATGTGTGATGACCTATCTCACTACTGCTTAGGCCGCTCCATGGATAACATCGTTTATAGTAACTCGCTAAACCATTAGATTAAGCGAAAACCTTTTGAATCACGAGTCATCTCATCGCGTTATCAAATGTTGGAGCATTTGCCATTGTGTTCGTGATGGTGATATATATTGTATTCTATTGCAGCTTGTATATTGTAAAATAAAAGTTGTATTTAGAAGATTTTCTTTCTTTCTTTCTTTTTCTGAATTTTAATCATTTCTTGCTTATAGTTTATTATTCCAAATGTAAACTGATTAGATGTCAAGTTTAAGCTCGCTTTGAAAATAGCCATAAATGAAACTGTCTCTGAAATTACGAGATAGTTTAAATTGGCTGATTTTTTTCAGAGACAGTTTCAGGAATTGACTGTTGACTCAGCATGACTTTATGTGATAATTGTTAGGCTATTTCTTACTGCCTCGATACATGCGCTCAAACTTCACTTCAAAAAAGCGCCTAGAAACAGTCGATCTTGCTGCATATGAAGTTTTTCAACTAGATAAGCGTTTTGAATTCTGTATGTTTCTGATTTTTTGAGAATTTGATTACTTACCCTGAATATTACCATTCATCGATTTCTTTGAACACGTTTTTGTACTCCGAGATGATTCCGCGCGAAACCTTTCATGATTTAAAAATGTAAACAATGTTTCTGCTTCCATCTTGCGTTTCCGATGATAAGGTGATGATCATTATGATCATATTATATATACTTCAAGTTATTGCATGTCACAAAAACCGAGCTCGAGCTTTCCGCGAAGTTTCGAAAATCGCGTAAACACACGTGAATTTTTTTCGGCTTGTTTTTAGTTTTTATTTTGCCTGGACTAGGGCGGAGCCCCAATGCGGTACTCAAATTGTATACCAGCTCATAGTGATGAAGTAGCGACCGTGAAATATGACGGTATTTGAACAGCCACTATGGCGATGCTTGAATTGATCATTATGGTATTATCCGCACTGTAAATTCTGCATAAAGAATTTACTCCTTCGAATGTCTTTCTCTCGTGTGCCTTTTAAGTATTGCCTGTTTTTATTGCTCCTAAATATATAACAGATAGTGCCATTTATCGTTCGTTTATATATTATCAAATTAAACATTTTATTCAATAGAGGATATCACCTGTTTCAATTTCATCTCTTTAACAGATAATTTATTTATAAATTCCGAACCTCCTAAAGACTTTATAGCCATGAGGTCTCCGTGTCCCGCAATATTAATTGTGAGTAACATTATTATGAGAGGAATTGTGAGTAACATTATTATTTATAATTATGTTATTCAAGTTTCATTACAATATGACTGATTTTGATTGTCATAATTATTTTAATCTAATTTCTTATTATACTGTATTGTTTCTGTGAACCAAGCGCAATGAGTTCAGGGCCTCGGGCTAGTATGCCATTATTTTAATTCTTGCAAAAATTCGTTATTATAATCAACATTGATTGGATTATTCCCATACAGAAATCGAGCAGTTTACAATTTGGAATGTATCATTTCCTTGAGATATTTTGAACATAGGAATGAACATATTATTTCATTAAATTTTATTTTACGATCGCTGGCCAAACCCGTCTAATTGCCTAATTCCTTTTCATACCTGCTTGGAATTGCATAGAATATAATGAATATATATAATTTCGCCGGAAGGCGAAATGACACATGATATAGAAGAGGTTGCAATTAAGAATTAGAGTTAAAAATATTCAGTTAAATAGACAGGTTTTTCACGATGTCATCTATTTTGTTTCTAAATAAAATCAAGGTTTATGTTTAAACAGGCGTTCGTATTTTTTGTGGTGCCAGCGATGGGTCAAAAATACGCAAAGAAGGAGCAGCCGTCGCTCATCAGCTCGCTGCTGGACCTGCTGCCGGAGGTGGAGGCCATTGCCTCAGAAAACAACATCGAGGTCAACGTTCCTCGCATTAGAAAAAGTCAGGTAACTGCCATTAAGCTGCAACTTTTGTAAATTTGTAACAGAAATTATCTTAACTTAGTAAGGCATACATTTGTTCTCGAATTTCGTGTTTGTATCCTGATTAAAGACATACGTAAATACTTGTATATATTAGTGGTTCGTTTTATAGTGATACCAAAGTACAAAATTGTTTATTATGGTCATGTCTTAAGGCAATTTTTGTTTGCAGCTTGACAACATTTCCGAAATCTTCGACATGTTTGTGCCCTTCATGAAAGAGGTGATCAAGAACCGGGCCGATGAAACTGGTGAGGAAGTTTCAGAAGAAACGCAACGAACCATCGCAACCATGGAAAGACTTTTCCCGAAATTGATCAACTTCGTGATTGCCTTATCAACTCGGCCACAAGTTAATCCTTCAGATGAACCTTCCTTGCCTGACTACAGGTCACATACTGGTAAGAGTTACGGTTCATCCGAAGAAGAAAAATCTGGCACATTTGTCGAACTTCCAACAGTGGACAAAGAGGTTCTGAAAAAAGTTTTCAACAAAACTACCAAGATCATTTCACAGATTTCAAGGGCTGCAAGTTCGGGTGAGAGAAACAAAAATTCCTCTGGTGATAATAAACGAGTCTCCCTCAGGCCTTACTTCATTGACAACAGCAGCACCACCACAACGAGAAGACCATATACACCTCGGAGAAGAACCTACACCAAGCCTACTTCGACTACCACGAAAGCTCCTCGAACTTTTGGAACATACACAGCGCCAGCCGAGACAACAACCACCGCACCCCGGACATACGGAACTCCAGCTGCTCCTACAAAGGATGTCACCTCAAGTAGGAATGAAGCAACTACAGCACAGTCCTACCCAGCAGAGGAAAGTGACGAGTCCTCTGAATCTTACACGCGAGGAGCCGACGTTCCATTCTTCACCCTGCCTACCGCTAGGCGTACTTCTTCGCAGCGTGTCACCAGAGGATCGCCTTATGTTGACTCACCTTTGACTCGTCAATTGAAACCTAGCAAATATTACTACGTGTGAACAAATAACACTGGTATGATTGTTATCAGTATATTCACTAAGTCTCGTATGAATTTCACAGCTTCGCTTTTTATCTCGCATGCCAATGTATACGAAACAATCATTTAAAATTTAAATGTTTTCCAACACATCTCGTCTTAGAAGAAGGAGAGATAAACTCCGGAAGCTTCAAAACAGATACATCATCACACCTCTCAAATCACGAGATAATGATGCAAACAATGGGATACACATGGTGTTGGACCTTTACCTGTCCATAATATGCCTATTTCCATTATATTTCCTATTATTTTCTTACTTGAAAAGAGTAACAAAGAAGGGATAACATGTTTCACGCTTTCTGCAGTACGTTATCGTTGTGCTTCATTCCCTATTTGATTTTCTTGTTCATGATCAATGCATCGAAGTCGAGAACAAATGAGCGACAGCAAATTTTAGTCAATTTTGTTCGCTTGATTCTTAAGCATCTGAAACTGTTGTGTGGTTGTGTTTGAAATACTTTCTCTATTATGAATTATTATCGAGAGAATTATTTTTAAAGCTAGCGTAAAGTTAACACTAACTTAATCTTAATTTTACGTAATTTAAATTTTCTATTACTTATATGATGCCTAATTCAAATCCCCTATAATATTAAGACAATGTTTTTCACATTGAAAAACAAGCTATCATATCTACTTCGCTTCTTGAGCTGTTATACTTTTCCAAAAAATTCCTTCGCTGAATAATGACATAGTACGACTAATATTATAGAAGAATGTAGAAGAAGAAAAAGTCATCAGAGGACATTTGGGCGGAACACAATTAATAGGCAGAATTATTCTTGACTGAAGATGCGTACTTAAATGTTTGCTGACAAGCCATGACATATGCTTCTTCAAACAAATCTTTGCCAAAATGTAAAACATATCACAAGTGAATAAATTTTCCTCTGCATTGGTCTACCTTATTGAAACATGCTTGTAGTTGGTTTTGTCAAAAGTGCCATTTTGGAGCACAGTGTAACTTCTCATCATGATTAATTACTCTCCGGTCATGAACGTTCAAGCAGGTATTAAATCAGCGTAAATAGGTTTATTTATTCCAAACTTTGCTATTTTGATTTAGTGATATTTAATCTCATTTGAAATTTTTTTAGAATAATAAATACATTGAAGATTCTCAAAGTCGTCACATATTCACTGATGTCAAAAATATTTCATTCCCATACCAGAATACATTCTTTTGCTTTCATATAGCCTACTAAATATGCCTCGCTTTGCAGTGAACAGTGTACATGGAATTTGTTCAAGTTTCCTTCTAGCGCTAAACGTCTTTAATAATTTTCTATCGTACCATCAGAGGTGGGCAGTAGCGCGCTACATGTAGCGGCCGCTACTAGCGGCCGTTACATTTTCAGTAGCGGTAGCGGTAGCGGCTCTACATTTAAGGCAATGTAGCGGTAGCGGTAGCGCCCGCTACATATTTAAGTAGCGATACGAGGTTTTGCCGCTACAGCGCTACCGCTACATTTATAGATAAAGCCTTTAGATTTTACTTAAGGGGACCGGCTACCCTCCAACAAAACTTTTTTGTTCACAGACGGATCGTTTTGAAACTTGGTACACATATGTAAAACAGAAATCTAAGACCTTTTTGCTCATGTAAATTTAAAAAAATTGAAGAAAACGTGAAATTAGTAGAAAACGGCAAATAAGGGGTACTCTAAAAAGTTTGTAACTTCTGCAAATCACATGCTACAATGTCGAGACACATATCATTCGATTTGTAACAACAATATCTAGTGACTGTAGAGCCCCGATTTTTTATTTTCCTCATCTTTTTTTTATTCGCATCCTTCCCATTTTTTCACATTTTAAATAATGAGATATAAATACCATTTATTTGTAAATAATGATATAAAATGATCATTTTATAAAAGTTCAAGACTGCATTACACAAAAAAGTATTGCATGTACATCTATGGTACTAATAGCTTTGTTGAACGCGTCTCGTTTGTAGCTTTCAAACGAGTGCAAACACTTTGTAATTAACGAGAGTAATGGTCTATATATACAGATTTAATTCAAATAAATCTTTGTACATATTGTTAAAAATGTTCATATATATTTTTTTAAAATTGTCTTACGCAAAAATTATAGCACACACAGACATGCGGTAAACTGCGTTAGACGCGCCTTTTCAGCAGCTACAAAATGAGTCAAGAAAACGGTAAAGCCAAAATTTCCGATTTTTAGGGTAGCCGGTCCCCTTAATAGTATTAATATTATTTAAAAACCAGCCATGAT